AGGTTCCTTGCCCTCTAGGAAAATATGACAAAATCCGAAGGAAGTATGTTATGTTCCAATTCAGTTGTCAGAAGGCAAAGACAAGATTCTTGAGAACAAGAAGCTGTGGAGAATACTAGAATCCCAGCACCATAATCCCTGGAATCCCTAACTGGCTCTCTCTCTCAGTGGTGATTCTGAGCCTTCTGCTAGATCCACCTGGAAGCTGGGCAGGAACCATTGGGAGCACTTGAAGAAAAAACTCCCCCATCTCAGGGCAGGTCCAGAGTAGCTGATCTACTTGATTATTTCAAAATATCCAACACCAAATGACAAAGTCCACACGGTCCAAACTTCTCTTTAGATGCATGAGGCCCTGATAAAATAAAGGCAGTTACTTTTCAGAAGAAAAGCATCCCTGATCACAGATAGCTGGTAGGCTGTAGAACAGGCATGGGAACTGCGTGGTTCTCAGGACACATGGCTACCCAGGCTGTATTTGCAGCCTCTAGAGTCCTGAAAATGTCATTTTCTTTTTTTTCAAAATATGAGGAAATTAAGCCTACTAGACTGTGAGTGTCATTATTATTTCCCATTTGTCTGACTCCAAACATTCTCTTTTCTGGAGATGGGAAAGATGGTTCCCGGGCTCTAGAATTTGCCTGTTGCAGAGGGTTTGCAAAAGAGAACACAGTAAGCATTTTGTTTGCTTTTTGTTGTTGTTTTGTTTTTGGCTAAGTATCTTCATTTGAGGGAATTCTGGGAACAATTTGCTTACGCGGCTGGAATTTCAATTCTCCGCCTGGTCCTGAGGGAGGATGCCCTTGCTGTAATTTCTTCTTTTCCATTTGCTGAACGGCCTGTTCGACAGTAAAAAATGTATATAAAATGAGCTGGAAACTATAAAAACCAAGCCATATAAGAATTTGATATAATTAAATTCTACCTGTCACTGGGAATATAAACATAATCCTGCCATTTTACAATTGTAGCTGCAGCAGCTTAGGGCACAATCATTTGGGAGAGCAAGAGAATAAATCAGGGACGGGCATCCTGTGCCTCTTGGATCATTTCTAGGGTCCCAGGCACTACAGTGGTGCCCCGCATAGTGATGATAATCCGTGCAGAAAAAAATCGCTGCAAAGCGATTTCGTCGCTATGCGGGTTTGAAAAGCCCCTTCAATGTGTTCCTATGGGCTTCAAACTCACCTTTAAGCAAAAATCCTCCATACAGCCGCCATTTTCGCTGCCCGGTAAGCGAGGAATCCGGGCGAAAACACAGTTCGCTGCAAAGCGATTTCGTCGCTATGCGGGTTTAAAAAGCCCCTTCAATGTGTTCCTATGAGCTTCAAACTCATCTTTAAGCGAAAATCCTCCATACGGCTGCCATTTTCGCTGCCCGGTAATCGAGGAATCTGGGCGAAAACACAGCGGGCGGCCATTTTTTTAACCCGTGGCCATTTTGGAACAGCCAATCAGCTGTTGGGAAATCATCGCTATGCGATGATTGGTATGCGAAACAGGGTACCGATAATCACAAAGCAATTTTCCCCTATCTAAATCATCACAATGCGATCGCAAAAAAATCGTCGCTATGCAGATTCGTCATTAAATGGGGCGCCCGTTAAGCGAGGCACCACTGTACTGGGGACCTCCAGCACTTTAATGCTGCTTAACTACTTTTAAAAAAATCTCAGAGATTCCTGGGTCCTCTCGATGGCATGTGGACATGTTTTCCATATTTTGATGGATCTCAAGTACAGCCCATTAAAAAATACTTCTTTTAAAAAAATGGTAGGGGCACTAGAGTTTATAAGGGGGCTTTGTTTGTTAGAAAAATGTTTTTATTTAAACACTTTTTTCATTTAATTAAAATCAACCACAGCAACTTTTAAAGTAGATAATCACTGCCTTAAAATGTATTTTTAAAAAGAGTAAAACAAATACAGAAATAAGTCTCTTTGGCTATCCATCTCGCAAGTTTAGCCATCACCCCCTCCCCCAGGCTTCTGGCTGGCAGATTGCCAGTAAATCTGAAAAGTAGCTTTGACCTCCCCCAAAATAAATGAGGCTTTTTCTTATATAATTCACAATGACGCAAGGCTACTGAGGAAGACCAATGAACTGGGCAAGGAAGAATCCTGCATTTTTAAATAAAGTTTGTTTTGAATCTATTGAGTCTATTCTTCTTCTCTAGGATAAGCTACGCTCAAGACAGCAAGGTGAAGCTGCCTTATCCTGAGCAGTTTTGTTACTCTAGCTAGCAGCAGCTCTCTAAGTTTAGATAAGGATCTCTTCAAATCAAACTGTCCAAGATCCTTTCCGCTGGTAAAGCCAGGAGCAGAACCTTCTGTATGCATGCAAACAAACAAACAAACAGATTTTGCTCCTTCAGTATAATAAGATGTTTGGTGCTTCTCAGCAGAGACTGAGCCAAAACTTTGCAAACACTGTTTTCTTTCACAACAACTGGAATGATTGTTTTCCTTACTAAAAATACAATGAATAAGTTTAAAGTCTTAGGAGACTGAGCGACTATTCTAGCAGCACCTGCTCAAGTTCTTGTCTCTGGGCCTGAAGGTGGTCTTGTTGCCTCTGGAGTTCTTCTTTCTTTTTCTGAAGTTCTAATGCTTGCTTTTGCAATTCATCTTCTTGCTGGGAAATATGACTTTCAAATTCCTTCAGATCCTCTTCAGTGAAGACTTGCTGTTGATCCAGGGTCTTAAGAAAAAGAAGAACGATTATAAACTCCTCAGAAAAGTCTCAGTGAACAAGTATGTCAACTAATGAATAGACTCCTATCCAAACGCCTGTATAAGATGCAGTATGCTTAATGACAACATGAAGGATGAATACAATGAAGCCTTGTTTTAGGCAAAGCAACGTAGTGCCCTCTGGGTATTTATGAATGCATTATCCCCAGCTCATTCCTATCCAATGGTCAGGAATTCTGGGGGGGCTACGATTTAGAAGGTTTGGAGAGCACCACATTGTGTAATCCTCTTTTAATGAATGTGCATAAAGCCTGCTAAATCCTCACCTGAAGGCAGAGCTGGATTTGTGAATATCACCCCACTATGGCCACTAAGCTCCTGTTCTTGCTTTCTGTGCACGTACAAGGCATTTATCTAGATAGCAACTTAAAAAATAAAGCTGCAGTCACCCTCCATGTTGGACTGATGAAGAACATCTCCAGTCTGCAACATTATACAGCAAGCTCTAGCTTTACATCTCAAGCAGATTCAGCAGAAAACACTATCTTGAGCATCCACAATGCTCCTAAACAGATAACTGACATGATCAGATCTCATAGCAGTGATTTCTTCAATTTTAGACAGAGGCAGCATATTAAGAACGTTAAATGTTCCCCTCTTGCAATTTCTGCATACACAGGCTTGAGTCCAGGAACTCACAGATACTTCCTTCTGAATGTGGATCATATTTGTTCTAAAAGGACAGTTACTGAAAGAAGTGGTGCCCTCTGCTTCATGCTGCTTGAGTCCTCTCTTCCCATAATCACTTGCACATAGTCAAGTGAAAAAAACATATTTTGTGGCAGAGATGCTCCTTCCACACTAAGATGTTATTATAAGATCATCCAGGTACATAACATAGCATTACAGCATTTTTTGTTCTCAATTACAATCAGGATTCCTTTTTAAAGGAAAAAAGAAAGCATGGTTATTCTTTCTTACTTGCAATTCAAGTTCAAAGAAATACGCAACCCAACTGTCGGGGCTAATGCTACTTCAAGTATCTGTGTAAAAGTAAGATTGTCCTAAGATTACACAGTGTTTTTGTAGTCACTGTTCAGATTTTATTTTACTGAAATCACAAATGATGACACAAAGATAAACACAACAAAGGAAGTGAAGAGAGAACAGAAATTTTAAGAGGCTACACATTGGTTTGGTGAGACTGATGGTTGCAATATGTTGTTTCTAAAAATGTAACAGTTACCTCCCAGCTATCTGGCTCCAGAAATTCTCTTTTTTCTGTAGCTCTCAGGAACTCCTCCAAAGTCACTAATCGGTCCTTGTTGATGTCAACCTTTTAAGAGACAAAAGCACATATTTTAAGTACTTAAACTTGCATTTATTTTTAATTATTAATTATTTTTAAGTACCAAAAACCCTGACTGTAAACATGATCTATGCTTTCTCGAAGGCTTTCACAGCTGGGAACTGATGGTGGTTGTGGGTTTTTCGGGCTCTTTGGCCAGGTTCTGAAGGTTGTTCTTCCTGACGTTTCACCAGTCTTTGTGGCTGGCATCTTCAGAGGACGGGAGTCAGAACTCTGTGCTCTGGCTGATCTATGCTATTTAGCTGTATTCTTCCTTTGTGGCCTGGGCTCTCTTCCACTTCCTACGTGTTTCCATTTTTTATTTTCAGATCCTCTCTGAGCTTTCTGTGAAGCCACGTTATTCTTTTCTGCTGTCTTCAACCTTTTTGTTGTTGTTGTTGTTGTTGTTAGAAATGTTTGTAGTAATGCCTTTAGAATTAATTTTTTCAAAAAACCCCACTCATCTTGTACTCCTTTCCCTGTTAGAGTATCCTGTCATAGGATCTCACTTATCACTGTTCTGACTTTCTTAAAATTGGCATGACAAATCTTGACAGCATCTTGAAAAGCAGAGACATCACCTTGCCAACAAGGGTCCGAATAGTCAAAGCTATGGTTTTTCCTGTCGTGATGTATGGAAGTGAGAGCTGGACCATAAAGAAGGCAGACCGCCGAAGAATTGATGCCTTTGAATTGTGGTGCTGGAGGAGGCTCTTGAGAATCCCCTGGACTGCAAGGAGAACAAACCTATCAGTTCTAAAGGAAATCAACCCTGAATGCTCACTTGAAGGACAGATCCTGAAGCTGAGGCTCCAGTACTTTGGCCATCTAATGAGAGGAAAAGAGTCCTTGGAAAAAACCTTGATGTTAGGAAGGTGTGATGGCAAGAGGAGAAGGGGACGACCGAGGATGAGATGGCTGGACAGTGTCTGCGAAGCAACCAACATGAACCTGACACAACTCCGGGAGGCAGTAGAAGACAGGAGGGCCCACTAAGCTCCTGTTCTTGCTTTCTGTGCACGTACAAGGCATTTATCTAGATAGCAACTTAAAAAATAAAGCTGCAGTCACCCTCCATGTTGGACTGATGAAGAACATCTCCAGTCTGCAACATTATACAGCAAGCTCTAGCTTTACATCTCAAGCAGATTCAGCAGAAAACACTATCTTGAGCATCCACAATGCTTCTAAACAGATAACTGACATGATCAGATCTCATAGCAGTGATTTCTTCAATTTTAGACAGAGGCAGCATATTAAGAACGTTAAATGTTCCCCTCTTGCAATTTCTGCATACACAGGCTTGAGTCCAGGAACTCACAGATACTTCCTTCTGAATGTGGATCATATTTGTTCTAAAAGGACAGTTACTGAAAGAAGTGGTGCCCTCTGCTTCATGCTGCTTGAGTCCTCTCTTCCCATAATCACTTGCACATAGTCAAGTGAAAAAAACATATTTTGTGGCAGAGATGCTCCTTCCACACTAAGATGTTATTATAAGATCATCCAGGTACATAACATAGCATTACAGCATTTTTTGTTCTCAATTACAATCAGGATTCCTTTTTAAAGGAAAAAAGAAAGCATGGTTATTCTTTCTTACTTGCAATTCAAGTTCAAAGAAATATGCAACCCAACTGTTGGTGCTAATGCTACTTCAAGTATCTGTGTAAAAGTAAGATTGTCCTAAGATTACACAGTGTTTTTGTAGTCACTGTTCAGATTTTATTTTGCTGAAATCACAAATGATGACACAAAGATAAACACAACAAAGGAAGTGAAGAGAGAACAGAAATTTTAAGAGGCTACACATTGGTTTGGTGAGACTGATGGTTGCAATATGTTGTTTCTAAAAATGTAACAGTTACCTCCCAGCTATCTGGCTCCAGAAATTCTCTTTTTTCTGTAGCTCTCAGGAACTCTTCCAAAGTCACTAATCGGTCCTTGTTGATGTCAACCTTTTAAGAGACAAAAGCACATATTTTAAGTACTTAAACTTGTATTTATTTTTAATTATTAATTATTTTTAAGTACCAAAAACCCTGACTGTAAACATGATCTATGCTTTCTCGAAGGCTTTCACAGCTGGGAACTGATGGTGGTTGTGGGTTTTTCGGGCTCTTTGGCCAGGTTCTGAAGGTTGTTCTTCCTGACGTTTCACCAGTCTTTGTGGCTGGCATCTTCAGAGGACGGGAGTCAGAACTCTGTGCTCTGGCTGATCTATGCTATTTAGCTGTATTCTTCCTTTGTGGCTTGGGCTCTCTTCCACTTCCTATGTGTTTCCATTTTTTATTTTCAGATCCTCTCTGAGCTTTCTGTGAAGCCACGTTATTCTTTTCTGCTGTCTTCAACCTTTTTGTTGTTGTTGTTATTAGAAATGTTTGTAGTAATGCCTTTAGAATTAATTTTTTCAAAAAACCCCACTCATCTTGTACTCCTTTCCCTGTTAGAGTATCCTGTCATAGGATCTCACTTATCACTGTTCTGACTTTCTTAAAATTGGCTTTCCTAAAATCCAGCATATACATGCTGTTACGCTTTGCTTTTGTTTCCTTTGAAATCAGGAACCCCAGCAGAACATGGTCATTCCCCACACGCCTGGCCTAGTTCCCCTTACGGCCACAACTGTGAGTATCACAATACTTAATAAAGACCAGAACTGTTTAGAAGACCAGTTTGATGAGACACATTTTCACACCTTTGCTAAAAGCAGCCAGTGGGAACTGATTACTATATATTCCAAAGCATGTACAATTCAAAATCTGTATTTCTCTAGGTGCTGGTGGAAGTGAAGCTCCCCAAGTGTTTTTAGACTATGACTCTTAGGTAACCAACAAGCCAACAGTGATGGATTTGCGGTCCAGTGGTATCTGGAGGCCTGCACTTCTGTTACCTCTATAATGAAGTGAATAATTACATATACTGTATGTGTCCAGTGTGAGTTGAATGGAACACATTCACAGCTCTTTAGATCTCACCAACTCCCTGTTCCAACAGCAGCATAAAGGGATCACTATATTGATTTTTTTAAGTCCTGCTCTCCCTTTTTTATTTCAGTCTGCATACTGCAGAGTATCTGTGAACCTGATATACCTTTCATCCCACTTTCCCTCTCAAGTCCAGAAGATGCATAACTTGACAAAGTAGATGGGGAAACCCAGATGGGGTACAAGAGGAAAGCAGCAGTCTCCCATTGCTTGCAGATAGCCCACCAGACTGCTTGTGAGTGCAGCAGAAGTCAGAAGAACAGCATTCACTCCCAAGTTATGGGCTAGATCATGCTATACCTTGCAAGCAAGTGTTGGGTGAAATTCTTAGCAACTGGAAAAAAAACCACTGTGTGAACTGGCCATATGTGATATTGGATCACCTACTGTAACAGCAGAATTTTGTCCAAAATCATTTTTAGAACAGCAGGACTTGCAGCTCACCTCTTTCATGACATGTTCTCTCATGCGTAGCCTCTCTTCTTCCATTTCTACCATATCATCCTCTTCATTTTTGGGATCATATACTTTCTCTAGCTAAAACAGAGTTATGAGTAAGCACTAAAACAAAGGAATATATTCATTTGGAACAGTTTATGCATAAGCATTAGTACTCAGTTATAGAATATCACAAGTATTTTTAGCTTTTATTATCATACCACAGAATAATAAATTACAGTGGTGCTCCGCATAGCGACGATAATCCGTTCCAGATAAATTGTCGCTATCCGGAAACGTCGCTATACGGGGCAAAAAACCCCATAGGAACGCATTAAACTCTGTTTAATGCATTCCTATGGGGAATAAACTCACCGCTAAGTGGGAATCCTCCATAGGGCCGCTATTTTTGCCGCCTCGGTAAGCGAGGAATCGGCGCGAAAACGCTGCAGGCGGCCATTTTCTTGATCCGGAGGCCATTTTTGAACCGCCGATCAGCTGTTCTAAAACATTACAATGCGATGTTTACCATATTTAAACATCGCAATGCAATCGCAAAAAATGCGTCGCTATGCAGATTTGTCGTTAAACGATGCGCTCGTTAAGCGAGGCACCACTGTACTGTTTTTTAGGCACAAATGTCATGCATCTGCATCCTAGAATCCATGATTTCTTCTTCTAGTTCATAAACTGAAATTCTAGGGCTCATCTGACAGGTTTTAAAACATCAGCCTTTTTGTTTCAAACTTCCTAAGAAATTTAGACACACTCTGTTGAGCAACCCATATACCTATGAAACCTTACAAATGCTCAAGAGCAGTGTTTCCAATCCTTGGGTCCCTAGATGTTGTTGGACTGCAACTTCCAGAAATCCTGACCAGTGCAGCTAGTGCTGAAGGCTTCTGGGAGTTTCAATCCAATGACATCTGAGGACCCAAGGTTGAAACCATTGATCTACAGCCAGAAACACCCAATTTTTCTGTGGAAACAATGCTTTTCTGTGGAAACTCATATGCCAAGACCCTAAACACAGCACCTACACCTACTACATAGTTAATCTCAACCTGATCAACAGCCAATGTAGAGATTAAGATAAATTCTTGGCAATATCTTTGGATGCATATTATTCCAGGATCAAACTGCGATCTGTGAACTGTACCCACAACCTTCACTAACT